CAGGTTAGGAACTCCACCCGACCGAGGTCGGGGTAGGCTCGATTGAGATGTTGGTTGCGGGCGGAACTACCGGTGATTCCGCACCCTGAATTCTAATGTTCTCTACACGTCACACATACATAGATACATTCCTCACACATCCAGCCGCGCATACAAAGGCAGCTGGCTATATGTGTATATCAGCTACGACAAGGAAGCGTGCACCATAAGTCCACACGTAGTTACTTTTCACAAGTTCTCCGCGACCATTACCAGAGGCCAACCCGTAAGTACAGCACTTGGACACCTCGTTAGCGACTTCGCAATCGGAAACATCGCGCATTTCATCTCTTATCGTGCAATACTCAAAGGCGCCTCGCGCGCAACAACAGACACGATCCTTATCTGAACAGTGAAGCTAAAGGATTCATTGTATGCAATAGGTCTTCCCAACGCGTCGTCATAATGAAGTACTTCGTATCTGCGACGGCAACCGTTGCTGCATTTGCAACGAGTCCATTTTTGACAATTAGATTAACAAGCTGGAAACAGTGTGTCTGGCTTATCAAAATGGTACAGGTAAAGCCATCCTCTCCCATGTTCTTACGCTAATAAAAGTTGTTTCACACGAGCCGTAAGGGTGGAGATAATAGGGGAGACGACAGATTCGAACAAGTGAGGTAGATGCCCGCTAAAAACCTCTACAGCATAGTCGCTTGATATAGTCGCAAACTGAACCAACATCTAACGCTATTGTGTACCTACTTGCCTGACTATATTAATAAACCAAAAATACTGCAATATAAAGGAGAGTCAATTCACTCGGTTGATGGAGACATTTAGTTGATCTTTCTTGTATGTGTACGAACCGAACATATTGGTATTTACCAAGTCTCGATCTTTCTGTCTGCTTTTAATTTTCTATTTCCTTTTTTTCAATCACGTATTTTTATTTTCTTTTTTTTTTACAAAATATTATCTAATCGATTTTAGGATGAAGGCCAAGTGTCGCAAGCACCTGTCCTAATCAACGGGGCTCTTTTGAGGCTAACGAGATAACGACAGTCACAGCACAAACAGTTATTGGAGTATATGCCCACGTATAAGCTATCATGATTCATAGTTTACAGCCTTGACCCCTACGAAGACCGCATAATTGATACCACAAAAGGACACGTTTCTTTCTGTCGGAAGTCCATAGGCTTTATACTATTACGCAGTCTATTTTAGTTTAGCCGACATCTATTTTAGTTGTGCTTTGTGCGTTTCACCTGCTAGGTGGTACTCATTTGTGCCCTCGAAGGGCAAGTGGTGGAAAGTAGCTATTGATTGAACCACTGTCTTCAACCGGCCAACTTCTTCTATGAAAAGACGACCTGACGGCGACAAAGGTACTAGTATTACCTCTTTTATTTGTGGTGACAGGTGAAATCGAACCGGCTTCTGTTAACACAGGCTGTAAATAAGTAGCCGTTCTCAATATAAACGAAACCGTAATGAGACTAGATAGACAGGAAAATGTATCGTTTCTCCCATGTCCGCATACATATATGCTATAAATATCAATACGCCCCGATAATTCGATCAGTTGGCCGATATTAATTAGACGGATTAGTTGATCTCAGAATAAAACAATGGATGAAATATTGTTTATTGCTTACATCTACGCCATTCCACTATCCGATCTACGTGCATCAAATAGGGGAAGTGCTTTAGAGAGTTTGAAGCCTTCTCGAGATCAAAACATCTGATTTTAAACTTCATACATCGAACAATTCGCTATAGGCTGGTTGCACTTAAAGGTTGACCAGCTGTTTAAACAAGCTTGGCGAACTGATTCGATGCAGAGAAGATGACAGGCTGATTGCAACAACAAAAAAATTAAGTAATTATTAATTTTTATACTCAACGTAATAAAATATATATGGAAATTGCATTTTGTAAGTCATTAATTTGTTCATTTTATAATTTATTTTATCTTTGGCTTTCTTTTTAATGCAAGACGTCGCGTGACCTCATTTGTCCGAGGCTCTGAAGGTCAGGCGCTGACAAAAAAAAGCGGTATGAACGTACGTGCATGCGTGCGTGCGTGCGTGCGTGCGTACGTGGCCTGTGCTCTTGACGCAAAATGCGGTTTTCTGCGCTTGCCTACAGCATTGCGGCGTCCCTGCATAGAGAAAAAAGGAACGAGATCAACGGCGGAAATTTAATAAACCCACCTAAGATAGCTCTTACCTCCTCATCGCCTAGCAACCAAAAAGCTGTAATACCAGAACGACGGGGTCGGGAAGAATTCCGGTCGCTGTATAACCAAGCATCCGACAGGCCGAGCTGCTGGACTCTAACGTCTCAGAGCAAGACGGGGAGAGAGAGAGAGAGGAGAGAGCAGGAAGCCGTTGGTTGAAGGTGTCAGCGAATGGCGGCAAAGCGGGGGACTTTGCCGTAACGACGACGGGGCGACGCGACGCGACGCGCCGCACCGAAGGTCTCTTGAACTGGGCCTTGAAGAGGTTCTCACATGTTTTTTCTCAATCTACTCCAATTCCTTTCTTGCGGGCTCGTTTACCTCTGCTCGCTGTGCCGTTCGACGTTGTACTCCAGCCTTTTTTACGCATCAGTTTCTCGAGAGTTACTGACGCAAGCAGAGGAAACGAGGCAAGGAAGAGGAAGACTTTTTGATCCGTCAAGACGGGTAAGGGGGTCCTAGCAGACGGGTGAACGGGGTCGTGGGGAGAAGGGTCGAATATGACCGACCCCATTTGGCTCCGCCCATTCCCTCACCCCTTGACGGACGCGTGAACGGCTGGTCGAAGAGTTCTTGTGACGACAGGCAACGGCGCCCTGCTTTTCGCAGTGGCGGCAAGTGCGCACAGCGAGAAAAAGACAAAAACGGCGCTGGTTGTGGCAGGACTTTTTACGAGATTGTTTCTCCAAGCTAGAATTTACTCGCCCGTATCACTCAGGTAAAAAAGGAAGTGCCGATGCATAGAAACGATACGGGAGCTACATGTGAATACACAGTGCGGTGAGGCGTATGATCATCTGCAATAGAAACAATCGTGTTACCGATACTGAAAATATCATTGAGAAATAACATATCGCAGTATATACTTAGCTTTAGGTGATCTGCCAACGATAACAGGCTAGCAAAAAAAATTGTGGGCAATTTAGCTGAGGAGAATCAGTCGCCACCGAAAATCTGAAACGGGAAAATTACTGGCACTGCTATCAAGCTCTTTGGCGTATAGTTGCCGGTTGAACTTGCGAAGGATCTCGCAATAGAGATGGAGCATATGAGGTAGACTTCCCTGGTTAGTACCCCGGGAGTAACGATGACTGCCATTTCTCAAAGGCGGGCTGGAATGATTGCTGGGGTTGAAGGTGAAACAGCCAGGCTTAAGTGAGCTGTGAGGTGATTGTCGTCATTGCGGCAATGATAGTCAATATTCCGGCCGCCACTGTCGGACGGAGCTAGCGAGAGAAGGGCGCAGACGGAGAAAGTGAACAATGGTCCAGTCATAAATCGGCCTTTTCAAAACTGAAGACGCGCGGCTGATGAGCGAGCGGACCTGAGCAGACTGGATGCGCAGTCGAGGAATTTTGATTGAAAAAGCTGCCTCCCTCAACGCTTTCTTTATGCGTTCAATATATTCTGATGCCTGTATAGTCTTGCTCGTTTTGTTGGACTCCTGGCGGTGGGTAGCTATGTGGGATTGCGTGTGTGACGGGAGGGGCTGGCGGAGGTGCTGCTGCCGACGGCCACAGCGGTCGCTCCTATACACACTCGTTTCCGCTTGCTCACCGTCAACATACACCATACATCATCCATTCAACACTAAAGCGAAAAGCCAGGCGGGCGTCTGGAGAAACTGCTTTATGCCGCTGCCGGTGGTGTCTGACCTGGAGGAGAGATGGACTGACGGACGGACAAACGCGCGAAAAAACGAAGCTTGGGCGGAGATGATGTTAGCCAGTTAGCTGCTGCCCTAACGTTACGAGATACTGGTGGGGACCCTTCTCGGCCTCTGACTGCCCTACTCACGCTGCTGCCTCCTAGGCTCCTCCTGCGACTGCTGGTGCCAGCGACTTCGTCGAATTAACGCAGCCGAGCTCCCTTTGCCTTCCCCAGCTTCTTCTCTCCTTTCGCAGTTCTCCGCTCTCCTGAACCCCTATCCCGTCGCCCACTCCTCCGATAGAACGCCGCGACGTGGGTTGAGGAAACTGCAAGACCGGGGTTATTTTTCGCTTCCTGTTCGCTCCCCAACCGACACAGCTATCTCATTGAAAAGCAGAACGAAGTAAAACCGAGACAAAAATACGAACTAAATATTAGTATATATATTTGTCGTATAATGCATGTGTGTGCATATGAGAGATTAGGTCCGATAAACGAAATGTAGAAACGAGGGGAGGCAGAAAGCTGCAAATGGTAAATGGACGAAGGAGAAGATCCTATATATGGTTTCAAGGAAAAAGGAACCGGCGCGAAGACAGTTGCTCAGCCAAAACAAGTAATGACCCCAATAGAATGGTGACTGCGGATAAGATTGAATTGAGCTCACTGTAAGGCTTCTCGTTGCCACCTGTTGAAAAAGATATTTCTACTGTAAAATGATCGGCTCGTTCGCGTAGCAGGCAGTCAGTTATCTTGTCAGATAAACGTCGAAAACTAGGCAAGATTAAACTATTTCAATATATTTCTCTTGGACATACGACTTGTTTGTTGTATCCAGATAATCCAACGCATCGTTGTGAAACACAGTGATAAACGCAATACGTGAGGGCAATGTTAATGTCTTTCTTCAGAAAGGACACAGCAAATATCTGCTTAGGACGCGGCCAAAGGTTGGTTGTGTTTTGGCGATACCTTGTATAAATAGTCCGCTGAATCTGATTACCTTTTTACACTAGGCTTCATGTACACGGAGAGGCTTCACGCATAGCGGTAACTCTTGCATTAGTATAATGATTGTTAAAAACTAAGTATTACCTTTGTGTTAATAATGTTTGATGTTTCACAGGCGAGAAGCCCCATAAATGTGCTGTTTGTGGAAAAGCGTTCAGTCAGTCATCGAATCTAATTACGCACAGTCGGAAACACACTGGGTTCAAGCCCTTCGCCTGCGACATTTGCGGTAGAGCCTTTCAGAGGAAGGTCGACCTACGCCGACACAAAGAGACGCAGCACACGACGCAGGGCGGTGCTGGCGCAGTAGTCCTCGGAGCGGCTGCAGCCGCGGCCGCCGCCGCCGCCGCTGTCGTAGCTGGAGTAACTGGAAACGCCCTTGGCGTTGGGGCCTCTGGACAGCTTGTCCATCTTGCCCACGCGCCACCTACTACAGGGCCAGAAGTGCTTCAGGTTCCACATCCCGTGCCGCTTTCATTGACCCTTTAGATGCCCTGTGATTATAATGTGTCCAGGGAAGCGTCAGGCAAAACGCAGGGAAACTCTCGGCTATAGACAATTTCTAAAGCGAATAATGTGGCAGTTAGTCAGGAGATGTGAATCTTACTGTAATGTATTTCAATTCTTTTTACGCCGCCTTATCGGGTGGGCTATAAGCAAAAAGGAGAGGTGAAACTTTTCTCATTAAACACATGTCTATTTGAATTTTAATAGAGCTCAATGAAAAGAAAAAACTAAATCCAATGCCTTTTCTAACTACTCTTTCCAATCTATAGCGTTGCCATTCGAATGCTTTTCGAAGAACAAAATCTCATGGTCGTGTTATGTGATGAGGAAGATGGAACGGCTGATACGCAGCACCTATTATGGATGAGAGTGTATATAATGCCGGCCAAGTCGATAAGATCGAATAATCTGGAAAAGTTGAGATAAAACAAAGGTATGAAGGTTTCTAGTCTAGCTCTCTGTGCTCGTGTCTATTTGAATGTAAGTGTCATTGAGTAGCTGGCTGATTGTGCGTGAACGAATGTCAAGTGAGTACATTTGTACGGTAACGGATCGACAAGACATTGTCGGACGTCATTTCCTGTCTCAAACGGCCATGTTTGTTTTCATCTCCTATGATGCTGCTATCTGCATTGCATATTTATGGACCTATGAACCTATGCATGTGCTATACAGTAAGCACCTGTAGAGTACCGAGGGAGCAGGACGAACAAACTACGGCAGCGCGAACTCGCGAAACAGATTCCTCCTTGCTGATCCCTTTGCGGCTACACTACTTGTGATATGGTCAACGGTAATAGCAGTGAAAGAAAACAGCGGCCTACCATCCTTTAAAAAAGGACCCAATGAACGTATATACACGTATGTATGTGCTTGTATGCGTGAGCGGGTAAGCGCGAGCGTATGTATGTATGTATGTTTGTGTAGCTGTACATAATAACGATTTAAACGGCAGCGATTCGGCGTCGTTGAAACAAAATCAGTGGTTACAATAGAAATATGTATTCATTTATGTCGTCTCGGCTGGAAACTAGATTGTCGCAATTGAGCGGGTTAAGCGGCACGAGCAGCCCTGGGCTTACCTATAGGAACATTTGGTCTCTTCTGGCTTTAAGAAACCCAGCCATGGACGAATGAATGTACGATTTTTGGTGTTTACACAGAATAATTTCTTGCTCGTAATCGCTAGTTGTATCATTTGAATGGCAAAAAACGTAGCATTAGCCGAGCTGCAATTTATCGGGTTAAACTTCCTTGTGTTCAGGATGAATGATCATTTGAAACCATCAAAGCTTCCCGCTGGTTCTTTGCGTGAATGACGATATTAATACGACAGCCATCATCTTCACATAGTACATAGGGCAGGAAACGACTTGTTTTGAAGTGCGCTTTGCCCCTATTGGAATGTATAGGTTATTCGCAGAAAACCAGCAAGGCTTTTAGACAATTCGGGTTTGGCTGAAGTATACCGTCAGGCACGATAAGTCAGCTAACCCTATACGGATACGCAACTGGGTTACCGCAAATGTTTGTCGCGAGACGAGGGCGCAACATGGTGTGCATTCCACTGGGCCAACATCCACGTCATCGAGAGCGGATCACCTGACAATAAGTTGTTTATTGTACAGCAGCAACGAAATCATCAGACGACGAATCATGTGACCATCATACAGCGTTTGTCAATGGCAAAGGACGAAAGAAAGCAATGAAGACCTCTTTTTTAAACCACGAAAACTTGGCTCTGCTTAACTCGCAGTATCTCTATCGCTCGTTGTATAGAAATAAATAGATTCCATTAGGGCGCGCACAGAGATATCATTCCCTTAAAGAGCATAGCAAATGAGCAATGAACAGGTGTTTCTTCTTTACCCATCACTGAAATCTTGATTTGTGAATAGGATGCACTAACGATATACAATGCTTCCATATGATGAGACGATGTCTTGTCACAAAGATTATCGAAAAGATGACTTATTTTGGCCGGATGTGCATTTGCTTCTGTGTATAGAGCTACTACTAATGAATACTTTTAACATATAAATAATATCGATAAGGACCCATATGTTAGGAGTAAGCAAAAGCCTATATATTTAGCATGTTTTGGCAAGGAGCCAAAAACTATGCGGCAAGTCGCTTAAGCTTCATGTGTAGTGATGGAAACAATATTGAGAAGATCTTCGGCCTATGTATGCCTGAAGAGTATATAACTCTCGTTTGCTTATTTTCACTATATCGGTGGACGACTATAGTAATATATTGTTGTGTGAGTTTATTAATGAAGAGAACGCATCTACCAAAAATAAAATGTCAATAATATGTCGCTGTTATTTAATGCTTTTATTTAACTTAGCTGTAACAACTAGCTAACGTTACATTAATTTCGTGAGGAAAGGCCTGACCTTCGCCTATCCATTGATGAGGTAGGTGCTTCGTCCTATGCATTGGGTCTGCACTTACCTGGATGCTTCCGGTCGGCTGACATGAAATTATCGTAAGTACTTCGATACATTCTAACCTGAAGGTACTAACTTGCAACCCGGCTAAGTGCTTTACGTTGACACGATGTAGAACCGACCATTCTAGCGTACAGAACCGTCACAAAGAAATGCAGACTGTTGTCGGTCTTAGTCAAATTACGGACTTCAAAGCTATTCACCTTACGTTGTAGGGGATTTTTGAATTTATCGTCTGGTGGTCAAAGATTTATAAGGCACACAAATTTTAGAGATGATCATGGTTGTCTGATACAATTCTTGCAAACACTCGAAAGAAACCAATATTAATAATTATGTCTAAACAACCGGAAATCCTTTATCAATCAATCCAGATCCTAAGGCTAGCCATCACATGATGAATTTTATTACGTTCTCATTTATTACGGAATAAAGTACGGATTTCAATCTGTTCCCACAGTACATACATAGCGGGTTCTTTATTGAGGTACATGTTTGCATTGTAGATAGGGCTCTGTAATGAACTACGCCCATTTCGAATCAGGTTAAACGTTCAGTACTAGCAATAAGTCTAAGCAAAACTGGATAGCGTGCCTTATTGAATAAAGAGAGAAACAAGAGGCAAACGCGGCTTCATTAGCCTTTTTGAATGTTCCAATGGGACCAAATACAAAGTCCTGTAAAATGCTTAAAAAAGCCGTAGTGATTTATCACCGACGTTAATAGTGTTGTTACCAGCGCAGGGTAAAAAAATTTCACCTGATCCTGATCAGCAAACGCGGATGACAGCGATGACATCAGTAATAGCGACGACAACGAAGAACACTGCTACTCAGAACCCCAGAAAAAAAACGCATATCTATTTCGGTGGATGCGGCCAGCGCCATCACGGCGCACTGCCGCCAGCGCCAATTGGTTGGCTAATAGCAATTGTTCTTTATCATCTTGTAAAAACACTCTGCTGCTCCGTGGAGCTTTTGGGTCTAGTTGATAGCAGTGTGTGGGTCGCCGCTGGGTTCTATAGGTCTTTGAATAGTCTGTCTAGAGTGCTATCGTATTACACGCGCATGACTGTGCTGACGATTGTTATATGCTAATAGTTGTGTTTGGGACAATGAATAGAGAGAGCTGTTGAGTGAGCGCTGGGATAGATTCTTTGTGCTCAAGGCTGGGCTACCATAGTGCAACAAAGTGCCAGATGGAGGTACCACAGGACTCGCATCGCACTCGTCACAGGGACCATCACCCCTGCAACGAGAAAGCTAGAAAAGAACGATTAAAAACGATCTATCCCAACTCTGAGTGAAAAATACACACTATATAT